GTATTATCTGTGCTCACGGGCCATGCTAATCTTCTTTCTCTGTTTCCCTATTCTTATGGCACGGTTCTTTGTCGCGATCCGGATCGGCATAGCGGCTGTCTCTTATACACATCTAGATGTGTATAAGAGACAGAGCTTCGGAGAATTTCCGAAACAGTCGGTTGAAGCATTCCGCAGGTGTTCTCGCCACCTTTGTATCATCGCTCGTGCTGTACTTCCGATGTACACCTTCCTTGCCCATGGATTGAAGATTTCGTATACTCCTGCTTGGTCCAGATCTAATAGTCCGTTGCCACCACCCGATCTATGAATATACTTCTCCACCCACGGTATTTGTCCCCTCACGGCCAGGAATAGCGTAGTAGTTGTGATCACCCTTTCAGTTAGCATCAACCGCATGCTGGCAATGCCCTGCCCCCTGAGGGCGGTTCGCTGTGCCATGTAAGTCTTCAGATGCTCCCACAACACAGCGTTCGTCGGGGGCACGGGTAGTCAACTAGATTCCCGCCTCTCCCCCTCCGTGGAGATGTCGCCGTTCAGTCTCGCTGGTGCCGATCTTGGTGTCTGATCTCTGCTCCCTGGTCGTTCTCCACCTGTAGTTGCTGGTGTCGTCTCTCCGAGACGAATGGTCGATTGTCCCGCTGTACTTCGGTCCCCCTCATTGAAACCATCATAGGCCGTCATCACCTGCGCACTCGCCAGTAGATCTATCACCTCCGGTTTTTTAATGTACTTGATTCCCTTCTTCTGGCAGATCTTGCGGAGTGCAGGCGCCTTCTTTGTCGAGAAGACCTTCTGTGCAGCCAGACAATAGTCGATTAGGCCCGTCGTCGAGCTCTTTGCTGACAGGCCTTTGTACCCCCCCGTCAGTGGCGTACGTGGTTCGTCACATACATTCCGATCTTCCTCCGTCCTCCCCGTGCCGAAACGCATACCCGCAGGTCTTCGAGGTGAGCTGTAGTCCCTTAATCCTCCCGTCTCCGTTCCAAATCCTACTTCGATGTCATTCGTTCCAAATCCTGCTCCGATGTCATTCGCACATCTCAGGTCATCATCACACGGTACGTATCTCTTCCCCCTAGAAGATTCGCCTTTCTCCGTTGTCGTTTTACAAGCCTGCTGCTTCGGAGGTACTGCTGGTCCCTTGCCCTTCTCCTTCCGTTGATTCTTCTTTGCCTTCCTCGCCTTCCGTAGTTTTATAATAATCTTCTTTAAATCCTCATCGGATTCGTCAGTGTCCGAGAGCTGCAAGTCTGAGGTGTCGTTCCCCTCCATGTTCGTATCCTCATTCTCTACCGTTGTCGTTTTCTTGCCTCGTGTACTCCGGTTCGGCTCACGTCGCCCATCCCCATTAAGTTCGAAGCCACTCATACGTCTCAGGTTTTCCGCAGCCTGTGCTGCGTGCTCTATGGCTTGCCGTACCGCTAGCTCCGCTGCTTGTTGTGCCGCCAGCTGTGCTGCTTGCTGTATTGCCTGATGCGCGGCATTCTGCGCTGCTTGTTCCGCCTGCGCCGTTTGTTGTCTCCACTTCTCGTTCAGATTCGTTTCTAACTGGAGGCGAATCTCCTCCGTTCTCCGGATGAAATCTTGATCCCGTCTGTGTTCTTCTTCCTCCTTCATCCTCCG